CAGCACTTAGCTAAGACCAGGATGGACGTAAAATAGGAGAAAATATTTCACCTGCGTGGAAATTTAAAAGGTATTTCTAAAACGTTTTTTCAGAACTCAATAGTAACAGTAAAAAAAAATCTGCCAACGAGATGACATGTTTATTTCTTCGAATATAGAGTTTTGTCTAGAAAAGACAAGAACAATGTTAAATGGCATGTAAATAGCATAAACTGTACCTCGTATAGTTTTCGTTTCTGTTGAGAAGACTGGTGACAAAGTGACAAATAAAAGTTACCTTGTGACACTATTTGACTGGTACATGACTGCATTCATTATTTGTGTACTTCTAAAGTCTAAATTTCAGCTGCCTGCCTGAAAATTCTGCTTACCCAACAGTATGCACGAAGCCGAGTGTCACAACAAGCAGATTCCACAAATTCTTGACAGGATACACAATTTTCCAATCTGTCACACGTACAGTAGCATAGCAGACATATCCGCCGTAGTTAAAAGCATTTTCACAAACAACACTCACATCTCATTTGTCACTAAGATCGGCATCACCTATCACAATGATGTGATATGTTTCTTTGTTAAGTTTGATGTTGACAGAAAAGTGGCAAAGAAACACGTTTGCGTTGCACGTTACACCTCAATATGTTAGTGTAACTTTGTAAAGCCTGGAAAAAAACAGTTGTGAACTGTGTGTATCTACAAGCTTTCTTGAAAATTACCAGGACAAAAAAAAAATATGATAAGAGAACGATTGGGTAAATAAGATAAAAGCAGGGCAAGTGTTGTCAACCTGTCACTTCACAGTTACAATAACATATAGTTAAAGGCACTTTTTCTTCCCGCTGCCTTAAAAGATAATGAAAAGCATTGACAGCAGCCTGAAAATGTGTTATTACCAGGTTTCAGCTGGAAACTGTACCGAGGGCTAACCTAACATTAAGATATGAAAAACAAAACAGCATTAGCCGGGATGCCATTTAACACTGTCCCTGAACCAATATGTCAATGAAAATGTGATTCATGATTTCATGAAGCTAATCTAGTTAGCTAGTAGCTGCAGCAACTTAAGACAACAATTTGTTGGGTTTTTAACAATTAACCCTTTTTTAATTAAGTATTAAAAAAGTAAAAACATAAATATGTTACATTTAGTCCATATTAAAATCAATCAATCAATTTTAAACATACAACCTGAGCAACAATGATGCAGAAATGTAAGGCTATAAGTTAAATTGGACAAATACCTGAAAATATCAATAAAATGTATTTTATAAACCTTAAGGAGAGGTTTGTCTTCTCAAAACATGAGCTGTTGTTTCAAGGTTACTTATTGACAACTTAATAAAACAAAATGTGTAATACGTTATCTATTGTAAGCCACACTGTTACAAAAACTCCATTAGCTTGAGGCTACCGCATGCAGAATTGTCTGCTGTGTCCTTTCTGCTGTCTTTGCTACTGCCTTTAACCAATCTGACCCTCATAGGAGATTTGAAAAAGTTTGCATTATACGATAAATGTACTATATTTTAGCATATTAGGTTTCAAATTCATTAATTCATTAGATATTAATAATTACTATTATTACAACTGAACTAACTAGCATTTGGTGAGCTCATTTACGAGAGGTATCATTTAAGAGATAACATGCAATCTTGTGCTCTGAACTCTGGCACAAATGTGCAAATCAACCATTTTTTTGTTGCCTGCAAGAGCAGTCAAGTTCATCAAAGTATCTATGGAACTGGCATTTGATATAATCTGCAAATTCACATTCCCACCGGGGGACAGACTTAGTGATCAGCTGTAACCTACGTGACCTCCGTCCTTCCAGACTATGAGGCCACGCTTTCAATTTTCAATCATCTGACCCCAAAGACCTACTAATGCTCAATGCCAGAATTCCCTTAAGGCAAAGTGAAATCAAACTCTAAACAATTTAAATTGTTTAAAGTTCAGAGGTCAAGAATGTGATTGTATGCTGTAAATAATAGTTAAAATGTGTTAAAAAAACAAACAAACAAAAAAAAAAAAACAGAACCACCAACTGCTTTGGCGGAATCCTCCTGGAAGCTCCTGCACACCAATTGTGGTTGTTCTAATTCCATATGTTATTTTAGCGTTGATGCCTTTTATGGCAATAAATCAAAGCTGGCAGACATTGTCAGCTCTCTCTCTGCCAATATGACTCTCTTGCTGATTTTGTGATTCCTTCAGGGCATTTCTTTATTACACAGAATGACTTCATACACCTCGTCGGTATCTAATAAAACAAGGGATCTGAAAATGAGTTCCTGTCAAAGAATATGTGTGTTCTGCAGGCTCTGACACTCCAAGCATAGCTGGGAGTGAGTTCTTTTGTTTGTTTTATTGCTTAAAGTGGGGCGACCTTGAATAATCGCAGGCATGATTAGACTTCACTCCATCAGGCGCCATAACCTAGGCTAGTGTACATGTATGTGAATGTGACTGACAGGCACAAGGTCCTCCGCAACGGCTTTATATCAATGAGGACTGCAGATATTTCGACCTTCCAACCACAGTGTGGTTAATAAAAATGCTAATGGTGTCAGAGCAACAGTTGTTGCTACTAGTTTCACATGCAGGGAAATGGAAAACAACTCAACAACCACAGATACAAACACTGGAATTTAACAACAAAAGGGTTGAGAGTGTAGGATGCATCATGGGAATTTTTTAAATTTTTTTTCTATTTGAGAAACAAATGTTTGAGAAGAATTATGGATTACTTTTTTTTTTTTACGGTAAAATCTAAAAATCAAATGCATATACAGTATATATATATATATATATATACATATATATATACTGCATATATATATATATATATACTGCATATATATAGACATATATACATATATGTATAGATATATGTGTCTCTACTGTATATATGCCATGCTATATATGTATATGTAAATGACTTTTGTTTGTAAATTAGTTATCAACATAAAGATACCTATGCATATACTGAATAAGTATACCACACATGTTAATATTGTAATATTACTAGTTGCCTAGCATTAGTTAGATGTCCTAAGCAAAAATAGCTTATGAAAGTGTTAAACGGACAGGTAGCAAATACTAACTGCTGAACATTTGAGCACCAAGCTTAGACTTTTTCCTCCTTGTTTTTCGATTTCTCCTTTTTCAGGTTGAGTCAGACCTCCCACATAAAAGTGCCTTATTGTCAGAGTAAGAGGGGAGTTACAGGGTGGATAAGAGGAAAACAGAAGTAAAGTTATAAATGGTTGAGGGATTTGTTGCGTATCAGCTTTCTGAAAGCAGCTTTCATTCCTCTGTTTCTTGCCGAAATGACTTCTTATTGAGTGACCCTCGCTACTTCCTGATCTGCTTTAAGGTCGTGATCCATGACAACAAATGGTTCCAGAGTTGGAGGCAGTGAAGTCAAAGATCAGACAGTGATAAACAACATGGTCGTATTCCTCTGACCACACAATACATTCTCTGTGCTTCACAATAGAAGGGACAACTGTATCATTTCAGAGGTTGTGTCACATATGATAAATAGTTAGCGTGGTTAATCCAATAATTAGGAGATAGACAGAGATATTTCCTGGGCCAGAATTACATTAGTTGTAATCCTCCCCAAACAATTTCTTGCACCTTAAAATTTGTTATAGACTTTTTTTTTCACCATGTCTTTTCTGCTCACCTATGGCTATGTTTCCTGAAACATATATTAAAATTCAGGTCTAGTTTTTGTATTTGGCCAAGAGCTGCTTCAATGTAATGACAATGGTGTTACTCTGTAATACTCAGTATATTGCTTTGGGGGAAACCAACGCTATACACTGTACTAAAGCTGTCACACGGGGAGTGTTTGAAATGTTTTTTACTTTTTATTTAAGGGACTCAACTCAGCAGCCTGAAACAAATTATTTCAACACTGCCTCCCAGGAAAGGTCGTCAAAGCTTCACAGCTACAAAAACGGGGGGGAGGGGGGTTAGGGTTG